GTGGACGACAATAAATTTTTTCGTGTAACGTTTATATTGAATGACACTTGATCTGCAATGTCCCGCGACTAATATATCTGTATGACCTTATTTGTAATGAAGGAAGAAAAATCCCTAATAATATGGAAAATAAATTATATTTTCTTTTCACAAAATTTATTCGGCTTTTACTTAACCGTCTCCTTTTAATTGTAGGAATTGTAGAATATTCACGGACAGGAAGGTCCAAGATTGTGATCCTATTGTAAAGATCTATTTATGAAAGTTATATAATAGACTGAAAACATAATTGAGGCGAAGTCTATTGAGATTCAGAGAACTATTGTTCATGTAATCATAATTCAAGAAATAAACAAAGAATAAAATTTATGATTTATTTGAAATTAGTTTTATTAGTATTATTAGTATTAATAGTTTTTAATTTAATTTAAAAACGAATAATAATAATAATTACAAATTTAGGTTTAGAAGCAATGCTCAATATATACAGTGTGTATATTATATATACAAGCATAAATGGAATTGAATAAAAGATTACAGTTAATGTTTTTGTTGTTGACGAAACGGTTTCTTTCATCAATTTCATCATATTTTAACATATTTCTCATTTTACTTCTACATCAGTACTACTATCACTATCATCACTTGTCCATGTAACATTACTTAAATCTCGTATCATTTCTATCGAAGCAATTTGTTTTGTCTCTTTCTTTCCTATTATACCTTCTTCATTTTTGCTATCATCTTTTTTGGCTTCTTTTGATTCGATGGCATCATCGATAATTTTATCATTATCATCTTTAGCTTTCAATTTACGATCACCATCATCATCACCACTAGCTGTTGTTGATTCCACCGGTTCTTCTTTCGCTTCATCGTCTAAATTATCATTACTAGCTGATTCTTTTTTGGTTCTTTTTAATTCATCTTCCATTAATTTTGCGATTTCTTCAGGTTTCATATCTTGATACTTACGAGTCAAATCAAACACTTTCTCAGGTAGTATGTCAATTTCTTTTCTATATAAAAGCATTGTCATCATCACTTCACATGGTGGCAATAATTTTTCGGGTATCTTATCAAGAAATTCTTGTGGAAACTCTGCATTTGGATTTTCTGTTATGTTTTTGTACATTTTCCTGATTTGATAATGTGTACAATATCCCAAATCCAAATGTACATCCATACGACCTGGTCTAATACTAAAAAAATAAAATGTGTGATTCAATCAGTTGGTCTATTAATTTTAACTTTAAAATAAATCGTCAAATCAATAGATTAGTTACCAAGCTGGATCAAGAACTTCGACATGGTTTGTTGTCATGATTATAATGTTACCTTCTGACATTAAATGACCATCTAAACAACCCAGGAATGTTGACAAACTAAAACATGAAAATCTAGAACTAACTTTTCTACCAGTGTCAGTTTTAGTTTCTTCGATTTTGTTTTGAAACATACCACATCTTGTTTCAAGTTCTCTTTTGTGTAAAATTTTTGAATGAGTATCAACATCCTCTAATACTATAATCTGATTGGCGGGAAGAGAACTAAATGCTGCATTCAATTCGTTATCATCGCATATATTCTTTAAATTAAGAAAATAAATATCACGATTTAAATATGACGAAATAGCATTTATTAAACTTGTTTTTCCTGTACCAGGTTTGCCATAAAGTAAAATTCCGCGCCTATATGGCATACCAATTTTCTGATAAAAGTCTTTGTCAGATGTAAACGTCTCCAATTCCCTTTTAATTAGTGATTTTTGTGCCTTCTCCAATGCAACTGTTTTCAAACCTCTATTTGAGGATAACGCCTGCACTCTGCTCCAATACCCTTCAGACCTTTCGTATCTTGATCTGACACGTAGCTTCTTTTGCGATTCAAGATATGATCTAGTAACATCATTGAGAAAGTCCGATACTGCATCAACGCTTGTATTTGAATCTTCCACCGTTGTCAAAAAAATTGATGGCATAGGTTTTATACTTGATGAGTTATAACCAACATTGCTATTGTTAGAAACTTCTCTATTCTCGGCATCAGTTTCTGGCATGCTATATGTGACATTGAATTTTCTTCCTTTATAATCAATGGATATCACTTGATTTTTTTCGGGTAATATGTTGAAACCGGGAGGCTCACAATCATCTTCTGGATCAACTTTAGTGATGGAATTCACTGATTGTACAAGAAAACTACCATTCGATAATTGTTTAGTTTGTTGAGAAATTATCCATGATATTGCCACGTAAAACATGCTGGTTTGCTGGTCACCATAAATTCCGGCTACATAATGTTCAATTTGCACCTTGACTATGTTTTTGTTCCAACAATTTCCTGTTGTAATCCTGACAACAATCAAATACAAAGCAGCAAAAATAGTTGTTATTCCTGATGCAATTATTGTTGTTAAAAACATATCTACAGCCATTACGCCGGATAAATATGGTCCCATTTTTGTTGGAAGCCATGCTAACAAAACAGCCTGAACGTGTCCTTGATTGAATAAATCAATGAACGGTTGAAAAATCACTTTGTAATCAGTCATTTTTTTATTTCTAAAAAAAAAGAATTTTGAAAATTGAAAAAAGAGAGTTTAAATAATAGATGGGAAAAACAAAAATAATTGATGAGGGATTATTGTGGAAGCTAGTATTGTAAATATCAAATTAAATCACCGTATCACAAAGACAATTATGCAAAAATCAACTAAACGCTATTAATTTATTAAATTTACATTATATCGATGCTTTTTTAATATTAACAAAGTTTTAAATTATTATCTACTAATTATTACTGATTAGATGTTGTATTATTATATAGATATATGGCACAATAATTTATTTGACTTATAATTGTACAACACGGACAATTATTGCGGTATTATTAACATTAATATTGGGAAAATTATATATATTTAAAGGAGCCAAAGTTTTGAATCTTTCGTGCTAACAATACATAACCTTGCAAAAAATCAAAATTTTATCCTATTAATTTCTACTTTTGTATTATTTTGTATTTTTGTATTATAATAATAAACTATTAATTATAATTATAATATAGTAATAGCCACTTATCAACCTCTTGACATTGAATGAACTACCTCATTATCTAGAGAATCGGTCTATTCGTAGCAGTGCATTTAACATAGGGCGGTTGAATATCACTAATTTCAAGTATAAACTGGGTTCGGACTGTAATATCAACAATTTGATTAGAATATTTGAACTAATTCGAACTATTTCAATAATCCGAACCAAACTATGTGATAATAACACTAATAAACCAGATGGGTAGATCTCGCGCACATTGCACAAATAAAAATAAACTTTGACCGAAATTTCTTTGAAAAAATATTTCTCGCTTCAAAAAAAAAAAAATTTAATTTTTCAAAAACAAGTATAATGATAATAATCTTCTCTGAAATTTCAACATATTATAATACACGTCTTGAACAACATTATTTTATTTTTAAACAAGCATAACCTTTATCCTTTGAAGAGTTTTAAGCTCAGAAGGAAAGCTTTAACTAAAGTCAATGTGGCGAGATATAAAAACAATATACCCGACTACAGCATACCATTAATAAATATCTTTACACAAAAGATCTTACACGAAAAATTGTCCTAAATTAATAAACAAAGAAAATCAAAAAAACACAAGAGGAGGATATGATTCTAAAAAGGCTTTACATTGAAAGTTTTAATGAAAATGGATTTTGCAGATATTTTGAGAATAATTTGGCTAGCTGACCATATTCAATATTCGATCCCAAAATTACTGATTCAAACTCGAACATTCCAGTAAGTTCTAATTTCAAAAACTTCTAATTCATTATCATTATTAATAAGATACTAAATTGTGCAGCATCAATATCATTTTTATTGCTATGTTAATAAAACTTTTAAGTGTACATATTTCTCTACCCAACCATATCAAACTGATATCATTATTATGGTACAATTGGCTTGATCAAAGTTTTGACTGTAATTAATATTGCCAGTATATTTCAATCTCTATCTCATATTTCCAATAAACAATTGAACAGTTCAATCACTGTAAGTTTGGTGAAACCATGAGTCATTTCTTCAGTTCTACTGAGGTCCATATTTATACCATTATTTGAACCTTAAAAAATAAAAAGTACTTAAATTAAAATTAACACACTAATAATGGAATTTCTATTTACCATAACCATAAAACATTCTCAGGACGATGAATTATTTCTACGTGGAGGGATCCTAGATTTTCTAAGACATGTTCTTCCAGCATGATTACATTCATTATTAATTAAGCATGCACTACTATACTGATCCACTAAAGCGTGTCCATAATACAGATGACACTCATTATAGTTTGTAACCAATTGAAAATATTATTTAAATTAACACCAGTGAGGTTGATGATGCTTTTGAAGATGAAGAGTTTGACATTAGCTATACTGATTGGTGTTCTGTGGTGCTTGACAATTTTTAGTGAATCATTCTTTGAAACGAGAACCATGTCATTGTTGATGTTAATATTGGCACGATGTTGCTTTTGCTATCAGTATTAATTTTGGTCATTATTAAAATAAAATTTGTTTAATAATACTAGCAACATAAAGAAAATTGCAAATGGAAATATGTATACACAGATGCATAGTATATAATTTTAAAGATTGTTTTCAGAAATTTATAATGAAAAACTCTTTGTGTTAATGGTATAAGACCATTACTATATTATTTATTAATGATTGAGAAATTCTGAAAAAAAGCAGTTGAGTTAATACCACTCCTATATCTGATGTTGCATAGTGAAATTTTGGAGTTTCTTCATGTGTGTATGTAAAAGATCGCACAATATTTTTCACAAATTAATAATTTGTGGGACATAAAAATATTATTGGCTGGAACTAGTGTTGGTCGCCAAAACTGTTTTGAAAAGGCGAAAGTCAAAACTAAAATTAAAAGTTATATGTCAAAACTAAATCAAAAGTTAATAGTCAAAAATCAAAACTAGTTTTGACTTATGGCGAAACCTTTTGGCTTTCGCGCGGCTGCGAAACTCTCTAGTTTTGGAAACCAACACTAGCTGGAACTGATGACGAACATGTGCAATGCTAAATTTTTTGACAAAACAATATTTGATATGATTCAAAGAGATGTTTTTTACTAGTTATTGTTTCATACTGATTGACTTTATTTGTTTACAATAGCCTAAACATCAACATCAAAGTGATGTGGAAACAAAAATTGTGTTTTACATAGCAAAGGTAATTATTTATCATGATATAAATGATTGACATGCTTTTTCATTATCATTGTTAATATTAACATTAATCATAATAATAAGAAATTAGAGATGAGAAAGCAATGCGATCTCACTCTCACATGTAGAAAACACAATATGTGCTTGGTCATGAAACAACTTAATCTGCAACAATTATGTTTGGTTAATTGAAAAACTTATTCTTTTGGCTCCTATATCATATAAGGCTGATTAACTTTTGAACTCCCTGATGATATGATGATGTGAATATACTTTCAGGGGGGGAGCACAGATAGCTCTGAAGTTTTGAATACATTGCATCATTGTCAGATTGCTTAAGCCAGTGCAGACAAAACAGGCAAAATTTAAAAAATCACTAGCAAATTACTGTACCCAGGTCAATATGATGACTGATTTTTCAAAAGATTAATTCTTGGGTTACAGATCATAAGCTCTCTGGAGCTCCTAAATTTATCTTGGATGGCAATACCAGGAAACTAATTTGCATGATGAAGGCAATTACATTGGTGTCAACACTGGCTAAAGCATCTTGATCAAAGCCTTAATATGCACATGAGTTCAACTGTGGAAAATATTTCATGGTTATGGGCACATGCAGTGGTATGATTGTTGCATGTTTGATATAGGAAATTTATGTAAATCTGACACCTGTGATAATATCATCAGATTTATTCATAAAACTGTGCAATTAGAAAGGAAAAATAAATTTTTATCAACCTTTGCATCAGGAAAATGGGTACAAATATTATGCATATATAATACACAATTGCAGGGATTAAGCATATAATATATGTACAAATCGCATATTTTTTTATGTATGCGATTTGTACCCATATTATATGCTTAATCCCTGCAATTGTGTATTATATATGCATAATATTTGTACCCATTTTCCTGATGTTGAACTCCCTGATGATATGATGATATGAATAGACTTTCAGAGGGGAGCACAGATAGCTCTGAAGTTTTGATTACATTGCATCATTGTCAGATTGCTTAAGCTGGTGCAGACAAAACAGGCAAAATTTAAAAAATCACTAGCAAATTACTGTACCCAAGTCAATATGATGACTGTTTTTTCAAAAGACTGATTCTTGGGTTACAGATAAGCTCCTAAATTTATCTTGGTTGGCAATACCAGGAAACTAATTTGTGTGATGAAAGCAATTACATTGGTGTCAACACTGGCTAAAGCATCTTGATCAAAGCCTTAATATGCACATGAGTTCAACCATGGTTATGGGCAATTATTTATTTATTGATGAACCCTAGAGAATTGGGTAAAAGTTTCATTTTTGCATGGCCTTAGTATTATTATTACTCGGGTGATGCAATTGTTTGTTATACCAATAGACATATTAATATGCAACAGTATCAACAGTATCATAATGGAGTTTTACAAAACAGGTATGTCAATTTAATCTGTTATTTGCAATTCAATTTTCTTTAATTGATGATCCTTTTATGATCAGCAGAAAATTTCCAATTTTCAATATAAAATTTGGGGTATGTTAAATACAAGTTTTTGAGTAAATTCCAAATCTTAGAAGAACCACTATTAAACTCATTTCCCAATGTCAAAATGTTACTATATTCTATCACTCTTTTAAATAAAGTCTCTTTGATAAATGAATTACACTATGGATCATTTTCTTGTTATTGGTGGGAGTCTTCTGATAATGGAAAGTATTTCCTATTCATGTTGGACAAAGAACAAGAACCCATTTGAATGAACATGATTTTTATGTTGAAATAGTGCATGGAAATAAAGAAAGCTCTCATCTTCCTGGCTATATTTTGAAACTGGGACTATATGTAGTATTAAAGAAACCAATCCTACTAATGCAATTTCTAAAATATATCAACAAGTGTGCAAGGAAGTGACAACTAAATTTTCTATAGGGAATTATGGGTTGGAATGACAAAGAAATTGTTGTAAGGTTTCAGTAATTGATACATTTTGTCCTTTTTATATTTCTCTAGATGAATTGAAAATTTTCATCCATTCACTTGAAGTTCTTCTTAAAAAATGGAGGGACCGGTTATCAATCATCACTTATTTATATGTATAAACAAAAGGATTCATTATTTGTTTCAACAATAGAAAATGATGCCTGCACTATTGAAATTACAAGCTCATAGATTCCTTTGAAGGTACATTTCCAATTTTAAATTTGGAAAAAAACTAGCTATATGCAAAAATTGATGGCTATCAGCTCTTTAGTTTAGATGGTCCTATTGTTCAAGGTTTAATTGGGAATCAAAAAGTTCCAAAATATACACAGATGAATGAGGTAATTTTTCACTTATAAAAATCTTTGACTACCACATATGTGCTAACAGTAGTTTCATTAACAAATGGATCAAATTTAAGAAGTTGGAAGCAACCATGTGACAAACCTTTGAAATAATCTAATAAATTAAAATTGTACTACTCGAAAATGTATTTAAAGGGTTGGTTTTCAACTTGGTTGAAGAATAACTCTCTTCCTAACTCTTCTCTTGACCATATCTCTCAATATAATCAAACATATCTACTAAATTAAGACCTGAACTCTTTTACTTTTGTCACGACTCCTGAGTTAATACAGAGCCCAGGAAACCACCGCAAGTCAAACTTGGGTGAAATGAATTAATTGAAACTATGGCTCAAGAATTAGCCTATGCGGTGATTAACACCATATTAATCAAGGATAAAGTTGCTAAACTCAACAAAGGAGGTCACAGAACTCTTCATGACGACTTTACCGACAATAACCTTAATTTAATGAATGTCAATGAAATGATTGTAAACACAACAAATTTAAGATGTACAATTACCTGGATCATCATCTGTATTTTCGTTATTTTCAATAAACTCATTTTCGTTTAATCTTTTCGTCATACTTTTTTTTTAGTGTGTTTTGATTTTGACTTGAAGATAGTCCAAGATATCAAACATTTAGATTGGCACCTTTGTAGACAATGATTGTGATAACCATGTCCACATGTGAGTATATACACTACAATTATTCAAATTAGCATAGTTAGCATAACCACAATATACGTAATTGTAAAAAATGTTTGTGGATGGTTTCCTAGAAGTAAAAAAGCCTCTTGAAAGGTAATGATGGGTTATTTCGTAAACTAAAGAAGGCAATTAACACCATTAGATGAAGTTTTGGTAATCAAAGGATACTGATTTCGTGCTTGATATAGTGGTAGTATCAGATTGTCTCTGGATGTGAATGCAACTTGCTTCTTTTACAATCTGCTGCTCTTGATGTTGTGGTTGCTCCAAGACTTGTATCTACCGAACCTAAACAGAATACAAGGTCGAATTTAAAAGAGTTAATTTTGTATTATTTAATGAAGCAAGTAAGGTCTGATTCATTTTGTTGACACCCATTTTGTTGAATGTTTGTTTTGTTGAATGTTCATCTCGTTGAATGTTCATTTTGTCAAAAATTATTTCGTCACAAAAAAAAACTTCATTAAATAAATTCCTCCTCACACTTGCAACAAACACTGCTTTCCTCACCTAATTTCTCAACTAACTTCCCATACTCCTCACATATAACTTGTTTGGTCTCTGGCTTGAGGATGAAATAATTTTTGACGAAATGAACTTTCAATGAAGTAATCGCGACCCCTTCAGACCATTGATGTGTATGTTGAGTTTGATTGCTTGGCGAACTACTAATAGATAATATGAGAGATGATATAATTAATTCATCATTAATGATTGACTACTTGCAGCAAAAAAAACCTACTTTAATTTGGCATCAGAAAAAAGATCCCACGAACAAATATACGCAAACCTTTAATTATATCATGAAATAAATATTCATTAAACATCTTAAATTCTAAATAACTGAATTCTCTCATTTAACCAAGACACCACCTCGCCAGATACTGTTTCATTAGTTTTTGTGGTGATTTTTACCAATCTGATCATGAATAGAATCAATGACATTGTGAGATAGTAAAATGAGGACCGATAGAGAGGTCCCACGTTGCCGATCCAACCAAACCAAATTACTACAGAAGTCACGTGAAAATTAAATCATTTCTATTTTTATTTTTTACGTTATATTTTGTGAAATACTGTGCCACACATTGCGCAGTATCACACGCACAATTACTCATATTCATATTTCTATA